CTTTGCTACTGTGACGAATCAAGCAACCCCCGTGAGAGGGTCGTTTGACCCCCAAAGGGGTCTCGCCCCACAGGTTGAGAACTGCTGACCCTGTTACTTACCGCCACAGAACCACTCTCAGCTATTCCAGCCAAAACAGCGGCTAAATTCCTTCTCCAGCCTTTTATCCCTGGGGATGCCCTGGGGTCTGTGTTGGGCTGACAGCTGCAAGGTCTGCCGCTCAGAACCCCCAGGCACCGTCAGGTAGTAGGGGTTTTTTTTGGGGGGGGGGCAGAGGGACTGGAATGTGGCTATAAGAAGCCCTAATGGCACAGCAGTTAAGCACACAGCTGCTAATCCAAAGCTCAAACACACTGGCTCCTTCACGGGAGGAAGATGAGCAGTCGGCTGACTGCCTTGGGGCTCCGATGAGGCAGTTATGGCCTGAAGGGTCGCTATGAGTTAAAATCGACTTGATGGGGGGTAGGTGGCTACAGGGCAGTGAATGGGTTAACGTGCAACTCCTAGCCAAAGTCTCTAAGTCCCACCAAGCCACCGTTTCCTGCAGGGGTCTGGTAAGAAGATGGGGGGAGATACTGATAGGGTTCACCTGTGAGTCCTTGTGAACAGGATTCCCTGGAGTGGCATCCTGCTGTGTATAAAAACGAGCCCTCTGGGAAGAAGGAGGAGGGATCTCATGATCAGCAAGAACCAGGAGTGGTCCTCTGGACCCGAGATCCCTGCACTGTGAACCTCCTGGATCCAGATGACAGTGATTGATACCATGGGAGCAGCAGCAGAGCACAGGACAGAGCGATGGACCCCCCTGCCCACGATAGACTCCCCTGCCCACGGCACAAAGCTGCGCGCAGGAGGCTGGCTTGTGGAGTGGAGCGTCTCGGGGCACTTCATCCAGGCAGCTGGGTTTGCTAGCCCCCTGGCCATTTAGTAGCAGACCTGAAAGAAACTTTGTCACATGTCCTGATAAAACAACTTAACCCTGAGCATTTCTCCCTGGCGTTACAACTTGTTAACCTCTTCAGTAAACCCTTTCACCATGAGATTTTGTCTGAGTTCAATGGCTAGTAGAACCTAGAGATCAAATGGGAACTATGGAGACATCACGGTGGCTGTGCCGTGTTTTATTCATTCACCAGCTGATGACGCAGGACATTCGCTTGTTTCTCAACTTCCCGCTGCTGTGAACATTGGTCTCTAAGTCTAGGTTTAGAGAAGCCCTGCTTTTAGTTATTTTGGGTTTGTACTGCTTGAGGAGGGGAACTGCTGACTTAGCTGGTCATTCTATGTCTGTAAGTGTTTGAAGAACTGCAAACTGTTTCCCACCCGTTCACATCCCCCTCAGCAACGCACAAAGATTCCAGGGTTTCCCTTAACTTGTCAACATTTGCTCCTTTCAGTGTTAGTTTGTAGCCGTCTTACAAGGGGGTGGTGTTGTTGTATCTCTCTGTGGTTTCGATTCACGTTTCCCTATCCACAGATGACGCTGGCCACGCATAGTCCTACTGTGGAGAGCTGTCTAAGGCGCTGGCCTATTTTCAACTGGGCTGGCCTATTTTCAACTGCGTTCTCTGTTGGACTGTTGGGTTGAAAAAAGAGTTCTTTATACATTCTGGAAACTAGACCATTCTCAGGAGCCCTGGTGGTGGAGTGGTCGTGGGTCGGGCTGTGAACCCCAAGCTCCGCCGATTGAAACCACCGGCCAGAGTGGGAGAGAGATGGGACTTTCTGTTCCTATCAAGTGACAGTCTCGGAAAGCCCCAGGGGCAGTCCTTCCGTCCAGTCAGGTCACTGTGAGTCAGCATCACCTGGACGGCAGCCAGTGACTGCTTGCTTGCTTGTGTTCAAGGTGCTTGGCTCTCGGTGGCTGTTTCCAAGGAAAATGCCAGGTGCACAGGGCTGACCCGTTTGCTGAGGCTCCTGGGAATGCCAACCTGCTGACATACCTGCCTGCTGATCAAAAGGCTAGAGCAAAGGGTTCCAAACCGATTTGACCGGCTGCCCGCCCGTTTTTTCGGGGGTGGTGGTGGGGGTGGTGGTAAAAAAAGGTCAATGCCCACCCAGCACTGAAAACCTTTTGGACTCCAGGATAAAGTGGAAGTCTTCTCTTTCACAGTGCCCCAGGGATCGGCCGGTATTGTCCACTTTGGGGACCACTGGGCAGGCGGTTTGACCCCACCCAGAGGCCACTTGGAAGAAAGGCTTGGCGGTGGACAGGAAACCCAGCCACTGAAGGCCTTCGGAGCAGTTCAGACCCTGGGCGCAGCGCCCCGCCTCAGTGGGGGGTGGGGATTGGGTAAGATGAGAAGTCCACCAGGTGGTTGGTCCTTTGGGGGGAAGGAATTGAAACCACACGCGGCGCCGGGCGGGAGGTGGAGGCGGCTTTCTACTCCCGGACGCAGTTCCACTTTGTCCCATAGGGTCGCTAAGAGTTCAAGGACAAAGGCCATTTATAGTTGAGGCAGCAGCCCGCCAGGTAATAGGGTGCCCTTTAAACTCGGCCTCGAAACCCAGCCAGTGCTGCTGCGTTCCCTGCAGACGCGCTGGACACGCCCCCTCGCTCTAGCCCCCGCCGCACTCCACGCGCTGATCTGAACTTGAGCCAATAGGGGCCCTTGCCCTACGGCTTCCGGTTGGTTTCATCCAATAGGAGGTGCCATCAGGAGGAAGTGGGCGGGATGAGATGGGGAATGGGCGTATTGGTTCCTCCTGCTCCTCCCTCCGCCCCTGCTCCAGCCACACCGCACCATTTGGCTCTGCCTGGTGCCAGTAACAGCTGCCGGGCTTTGCTCTGCCCCTTGGGGGCAGCAATGGCTCCCCATGGCAGTCCTGTGGGTCCCTTCGCTCTGCCCCCAGCTGTACGCAGGGCCCTCTCATTACACTCCCATTCACCCTTGAACTCCGTTTCCTCCAGGATTCTGCCAGTACAGCTCCCCAGAAGGGACAAGGAGCTTGCTGACACCCCACTGTCTTGTTCCGTCACCCAGGGAAATGGCCTTAATGGCAGAACTTGAGTGACCACAACACCCTCCAAAAATAAAGTCCAAGTAAAAAACAACAAAACCCAACGAAGGTCCCAGTGGTCACATGATTCAGACAACCAGCCACTCCCATGAGCCGGGGTAGAACTGTGGTCCTTTGGGTTCCCAATGGTGGGCTTTATGGAAGGCCATTGTCACGCCTTTCTTTCAAGGAGTTCCTGGGTGCACTTGAAGTTGCAGCCTTCCCATTAGCAGCAGCTCAGTGTGTTAACTTTGGGGACCTGGAAACGGTTAGCATGCCTGACTGCCAACGCGAGGGCTGTCGGTTCTCGTCAACTCAAAGGAGGCACCAAACAAAGGCCTGGCCACCTGCTTCTGAAAGTCCCACGGGCTGCTGTTTATGCTGACACACCTGGGGGAGCCAGGAGTCAGAACGCACCGCATGACACAAGGTTGATGACCAGGAGCTTGCAGCGTACTGTTCCCGTGCCCTGGCGGAGGAAGCTCCGGTAGGGAGAAAATGCGCTCCCTAACACTGTAAACAAGCCCCTCAATCACGTGCTGGCTGCGTCACTGCCATTTTATATGGCAAGATTTTGTCTCTGCCAGAAAAAACCAGTGGTAGTGTTTAGCTTTTTCCTTGCAAAAAAACAAAACGAAACAAAAAACCCTCACTGCCATCCAACCGATCCTGAGCCATAGCGACCCTATAGGGCAGGGGAGAATTGCCCCTGTGCGTTTATAAGGCGACAACTCATGGGAGTTGAAATACCAACAGGTAACCCCTAAACCAGTGTTTCCTGGCAGGATGCTTCCAAACACACCACGAACAGATTCAGACCCAAGGGCGGGGCAAGGATCTTCCCATAGTGCTCTGCGCACAAGCTGCCCCAGGCCCCGGCTGCAACCCTTTGGTCTGTAGCAACATTCACACCCCAGTAGGAATTCGCGGCCCAATCCCGGACCAGCAACCCAGGGGCCCGCAGAGAGCCGCAGCCAACCAACAGTGGAGGTTCCGGACCTCAGTCACAAGCTTTATTGCCCCGAGCACGGACTTGCCACACATCCACAATTCCACTTTGGGGAGAGGAAGACAAGGAAGGGGGGGGGAGGGGGGTCCATGGCAGAACTGGAACCGAGCAGCAGGTGCAGAGGATCACCGCTGCTCCGTGGCTCCAGCCCCACCTGGTGCACGGGCCTCGCTGTTGGGTCACTAATGGCTGCCCCCTGGCCTGAGTGTGCGGACAAGAGCAGTACTGGGCTCTGGATTAGGCCGCCCAAGCGTGGCTTCTCTATGATTAATAAAACCTCATGCGAGCGCTACCAAAAGCCAACAGGGAAGGGGTCCAGGGTACCGACCTGCACGGTGGGACAGGCTGCGCTTAGGTGAGCGCATGCGCACCACCCGCCTGCGCCTGGATGAGATTTGCCTACCTGTCCGGGTGCGTTATAGGATCATCCCTGGCGAGCCTGAGCTTGGGGAGAGCGTTGCTGAGGCCCGGCGTAGGCTCGAAGCCAGCTACTCCCACCGCACACAGGCCTGGAGCAACTTAGCAGGGCTTCAGAGAAAAGAGGGGAGGCCACTAGATTTTTCTGTCCAACACACTTTCGGGGCTTATCCTGGTTACGGGAGGCAGGGCTGGCAGGTGGAGAGGCGGCAGTTGCTGGTACAGGGATGCACAGAGTATATGCAGCAAGTGCGCCCTGCCCGGGACCCGGGCCTGCACGGCCAGTGCACACACAAACCTAGTCAACGGGTGGGGAGGAGGGACCCCAGTCAAAACCTGCTCTGGGCTCCCCTGTGGCTGCCCCATCCCTAGCCCCAAACGAGGGCTGGCCAAAGGCAGTGGTGGAGTGCAGGAGGGCGACACCCCAGTTTCTCTAATACTGTAGCTCCTAGCTGCAGCTGGTGGGGCGTGGGGCAGAGAGGTCACACGCCACCCTCCAGGCACCGAGAACATGGAGTCCTACTGGACAGGAGGGTGGCGGAATCTAGTACCACTATTTAAAGGGGGCTCCGTATCTAGGGATGAGGAAGTAGAGGGCACCTCTATCAGGAAATGGCTTCAGAAAAGGGGCTCCTACCTGGTGCCTGCAGCCTAGACCCACCCGCTGGGTGCTTTCCCAGGTCCACTCCGGGGAAAACAGCTCTAGGTGACCCAGGGGGCTGAGGGCTGAGGAAGACAGCAGGGACGCAGTGGGAAAGCCTCCCCTCTTCCAGCTCCCAGGGGCTGCCCACCGGCAGGGAAGAGGGCGGCGAGGGAGGGGCCGACCCCTGGTCCCGGCTTCCCAGACGAACTCTGGAAACCGCTGGGCATCTGGGTGTCCGAGTGCCAGGCGGAGCCTGGATGCCACGGTCAGTGGAAGGCCGAGCTTGAGGGAGCCTCCTGGTCCGGCAGGGGGTTCTGGGAGGGGGATTGTCCACAGCGGTGAGTATGTCATTGTTACAAACACTGTTCTTGTCTCCAAAGTGACCATCCTGGCCCCTGCCTGGAGGGGGCGCCATCAGGGCAGGCCAGCGGTCTCTGGTGCGGGCTGGACCACTCCACCGGGTTCTTCAGGGTCAGTGCTTTTCCTAAGGGAGAGCAAGGCCCCGGTCAGCTGGGTGTTCTGGAAAGGCAGGCCCGCGTGGGCAGCAGCGAGGGCTCCCGGTAGATGGGTGCTGAGGGAGAGGTGGGGAGCATGGAGGGCCAGGCACAGAATGGCATATACACAGGTCTCGAGGCAGGAAGGCTCCTCAGAGGTGGCGGGGTGGGAGCTGTGGGTGACAGGTTGAGGGGAAGAGGCCAGAGGGGCTGGGCTTTACAAAGAGGCCGCAGGGCCTGTGTGAGGGCTGGCCAGAGAAGAGAGGATGGCAGAAGCCAGACTCAGAGGAGCACAGACAAAAAGGGGGTTCGTGGTTGCTTAGGGTTGGGGGGCCTGAGTAGGTGTGGGGGAGGAAAAGCTGTCAAAGCTCCACACCCCCTGCCTGTGAGCCCACCCGCTGCTCTGGGCGGAAAGCTGAGGCCGTCTGCGCCAGCCAAGATTTGCAGGCCTGGGAACCCTCCGGGGCAGCTCGACTGTCCTACAAGGTCGTCATGAGTTGGGGCTGACCCCACAGCAGTGGGGGTTGGGATGGGTGGGAGTGAGGCAGAGTCACAAAAAGCCACCACGACGATCTTGGGCAAAGGGGTCCAAGCACCGCGTTCTGAACGAGGTCAACACTTAGAGTGGCCTGACAGCAACGAACGTGACCGAGGACAAGGGGGCATGACACCAAGTCACGAAGTCAACTTGCCCCAACCCCGGACCCTGTCCCGAATCCCAAACCCAACCAGAGCGGTTGCCTCCGCTGAGTGGATCCTGACTCCTGGTGGCCCCCCACCCCCACCCCGCCCTGTGTCAGACTAGCACAGCGCTGCTCCTCAGCGCTTTCCAGGACCGGTTTTGTCAGAAGTAGATGGCTAGGTGCCTCTGGGCAGACTCACACTGCTAACACTTCGGTGAGCAGCCAGGGGTCTAGCTTTGTGTGGCCCCCTGTACTGGGGGGGTCAGAGGGGAGAGGGCAAACTCTGGAAGGCTTTGTTTTATCAACACACACGTTCAGGAAGTATACTAACCCTTAAAACGGCAACCTCAGTCAGCTCTCAGTGAGAAGGCTACTCTCATGAGGGTCGTCTTCTTTATACAATTTTGGATTTTTCCCCTCAAAGTGTCCAGAGAGACTGTGACTTTATCGTTTATTTTCTTTAAAGGAGGTTTTCATCAAAGGATCTGAACTAAGTGTGAGAGCGTTCAGGAGGACAGGTCCCTCTGAGAAGCGGACACCACACACACAGCCTATTGGTCCGTGTGTATGAAGAGGCCTTCAACAACAACAACAACAACAAAAGATCTGTGGGAAAATCCTGTGATTTGTTCATTTCCCCACAAACATTGTGAAGCCCCCTGGGACTGCCGGTGGTGGTGACAGGGTCATCCCCTGCAGAGAAGCCCGTCAGGATGGGAAGGCCGGGGTCCCCGGGCCACCCTTACCTCTTGTTTGTGGGCCTTGTCTTGCTGGTGGATGCCATTCGCGGATCCGGGACCGCTGAGGGCCTGTGAGGGTGGGGGAGAGGTCAAGCGAGGGTCTCTGGTGCCCACTAGAGGCGAGGTCTTCCTGATGGGGCGCCCCCACAGACTAAGGCCCCAACTGAGCTCCTCAGGAGGAAGTCAAGTCGGTCGGTCCCCCTTGGCCCAGAGGGCGGGGCTCTGTCCCTCAGACAGGGCTCCCGGGACGGGACTTGATCCCTTCAGTCAGGTTCATTGGGCGGGGCCATCTTCATTTAGATTTAACCATTCAGATTTGTCCTGGAGCTCCCAGGACAGGGCTCCCCAGATGGGGCCACCTCCCTTCCTCCTCCCTCAATGAGCCCAGCGCTGGCCATGGCTGACCTGGGACTTGTCGGGGCAGCTGCGCATGGCCTCCAGGAGCTTCTCCACCTGCTGGTTCTGGTCCAGTGCGTCACGCAAAGTGTCCTCTGTGCTGATCAGCTGGTGCTGCAGCCGCAGGAGCTCGGGCGCCGTGGAGGGGTCAATGAGGGAGTACCGCCTCTGTTCCGACAGGGACTTCTCTTTGACCTGGACGCAGCAGGAGACAGGAAGAGGGAGAGTGTGTGCGTGCGTGCACGTGTGTGTTTGTATGTACATGTGGGTTGGGGGAAGGCGGGCTTTACCGGCTCCACCTGGACTCCAGACCCAGCCCGACCACCAAAGTCCCCCACTTCACCTGAGAGCCCCCACTGAATGTTTCTCCCCGCTCCCTGCCTTGAATTCTCAGCTCTGCCAAGGGAGCTCACGTTCTCCGAGTCCCGGGACGCTCCGACTTCTTTCCCTCGGAATGATCCCAACCTCCGCCCTCCATCTCACCTGACCACCCTGCGTCTGGGCCTTGCCCCCTGTGACCGCCATGAACACTGGTTTTCAAGGTCTCCACGGCTGTGCCAACCCACCGTGGGCCCAGAGGCATCCCCTTTAAGAGGGCAGGCCAGCAACCTGACCCTACACTGTCCCCCACAGAGCCTGATCTTTTAGCTCAGCTCGGCCCCTCGGTGCTTTGGAGGCGGACACTTGCCTCCAGAAACCACCACCCTCGCCACGCCATGCCAGGCCCGCCACGCCACGCCCTTGGCCACGTCCACCCACCTCGCCCTCCCCCACGGCCACGCCCCCACGCACCTGCGCCGCCAGCTTCTCCCGCAGGCCCCGGATGTCCTCCTTGAGTTTCTGCTCCTTGATCCGCCACTCGGCCTTGTGGACTTCGCGGCTCAGGTCCCTCTCGGGCCCCGGGGAGTGGCGGTTGGCTTCCAGCAGCAACACGCGCAGTTCGTTCAGGCTCCTGGAGGGCGGGCAGCGCAGCGGGGTCAACCCTGCCCCGCCAGCTCCCGCACCTGGACACTGGTCCTGCTGCAGCAGGGGCCTCCCACCGGGGACGGGAGGGACCAGATCTGACCAAGGGGGTGGGGGGTGGGGATAGGAGGTGTCCTTGGCAGGCTTTTGTTCGAAAGGAGGCAAGGTGGATCGAAGTTCGAGGTTCACTGGAGCTGCAGACAGGGGGCCAGGGTCCCTCCAGCCCCTGGGCAAGGAGGGCAGGCGAATGTCCGAGCATGCCTGATCCGGGCCCCAACGACTCACCGCTCCTTCCGCAGCAGCTCCTGGCTGAGAAGGACCAGCTGGCCCGAGGCATCGTGGGTCTTCCGGGACATGGCCTCCAGCTCGGCCTCCAGCCGCCTGGTCTCCCTCAGCAGGCTTTCCACCTTCTTCTCCCCGCCCTTGCACTTCCCCTCCAGCCCTGCAGGGGGAAGAGGGGGTGTGTGGGACTGCGCCCCCCAGGGCCGAAGCTCGGCCCAGGGAACAGGTCTTCCCGGGAGGTGACAGCTAGGCAACCCACGGAGTGCTTGGAAGGCCCTCTCCTGTCCTTGGGGGGGCAGGCAGCAAGGGGCTTGAGAAGACGGCTACAAAAAGACCCTAAAGTATCAGCCGTTTGGTTTGAGTTCAGATCTTTCCGAGAGCTGACAGCCTCATCTTCCTCCCTCGGAGTGGTTGGTGGGTTTGAACCGCTGACCTTGAGTAGAGCAAAGAGCCATGCTTAACCCACGGTGCCACCAGGGCTCCTCTGCCTCGACAAAGCTCGAGCCAAACTCCCTGCCCCCGAGTTGAGCGGCATCTGGAGGGCAGGGCAGAACTTCCCTTGTGGGTTTCCGAGACCGTAGCTCTTTATGGGAGTAGAAAGCCCCATTTTTCTCCCACAGAGCGGCTGGTGGGTGCTGACCTTGTGGTTAGCAGTCCAACTCATGTCCACGGTGCCACCAGGGTTCCGTGACCTGGACACGGCTAAATCTTCTTGTTGGCCTTGGTGGGGCCTGAGGTCCTCAAGCCACGAGAATGTGACGGGAATTTGGTCAAACCGGGTGGGAAACGGTTCGCAAGATGTGAGCTATTCCCATGGGCCCCATCCCTGGCACTCTTGTGAGCAAGAAGCAGTGCCAGCTTATGCCCAAATCAAATTCCAGCCCACCAGCCCTGCCTGGCTCTCCGAGACAGCAATTCTGATACCCTGGCATCTTTTTCCAGGGCTCGGGGCAGTGACGCTGCTGTCAGAGTGGCCGAGGGGTCACAACCTTGTACCATGATGAGATTTCATAGGTGACCTGGCGGAGGGACGTGGCTGGGGCCCCAGGTTATGTCATGGGTGGGCATGGCTCATCTGTTCCACTCACTGCCGCTCAGGGAGACCCCCTTGCATCTCCCCGGCGGGAGGGAGACTTACCACTTACTTGGGCCCTGAGCATCTCGGTCTGGGATGTCAAGGCGGTCACTTCTTTGTCCCTCTTGTTCAGCTTGTCCTGCAGCTCTGAGGGGAGAGAACAAAGGGGCTACAGGCCCTGCGAGCCAGTGGCCGAGGCTGTGGCCGACCCCTGGGGACCATGCTGGACACCGAGTTTTGTCCTCACTCTGGAGAAGCCACCCTGAAGAGGAGGCTTCCACACGGGGTGGCCATGGGCCACTTGTCTCTCAGAGCCTTAGTTCCCACATGTGGAAAGTGGGCACGGTAGTAACGGCAGTGCCCAATGCCATGGCTGTTAAGCGTGCAGGGCTTCAGGGTAGCCATAACGGTCACGTATGGAAAACTAGCAGGAACACACGCCATGGACACCTGTCCAAACCCCAAAACCCACTGCCATCAAGTGGACTGCGACCCCTCGCGACCCTATAGGACTGGGCCAAGCTGCTCCTGTGGGTCTCCAAGGCTGTCAGTCTTTGCGGAAGCAGCAAGCCTCCTCTTTCTCCCAAGGAGCGGCTGGTGGGTTCGAACCGCTGACCTTTCGGTTAGCAGCCTGATGTGTAATCTGCTATGCCACCAGGGCTCCTCTGAAAGGTGTCAAGTCTCTGCTCATTTACAAATCTCATGCAACACCAATTAAACACACCCATCAGATTTTGCCTTTTCTGGGGGAGCCGGAGAGGGGAGCCCCTCCTGGTCAGACAGCATCGCATGTGGGGGGAGTGGGGTGTTGTGGTCACGTTAAAGACCCACCCTACCCTGTGCTTGTCATCTGTAGCCTTTTTGTTGCCAGTCCCTGGAGCAGAGGATCTGGGATTTAGTCGGGACGGATGCCTTGGCCATCCCCGGCAGCCTGGTGCACAGTGGAATGACGCGCTCCTGGTCCTGCACCCACCTCCTCTTCTATTGTTCGTACAAGGGGGTGGGTGGGTGGGGAGCCCATTGTTGCAGCCACGGCGTCAATCCACAACTCTCCACCCACCGGCCTGTGATCTTCCTGCATTGGCCATCACTGCATATGCTGCATTGAGTCTGAAGAATTTATGGACTAGTATTGGACATACAGGCTAATATTAGACTTATGGACTTGATCTGGACTGGGCTGGGATGTTTTCTCAATATACAATTACTCTTTGATATAAAGGTCTCTCTTGAACACATAATGAATCTGCCTGGATTTCTCTAGTTGACCTGGCCTAACTCAGTCACTTCATGGAATCTAAAGCTCAGGCTGGTGTTTTGGGTGAGCAGCGGGGCAGGAGGGCTACAAGGACACCTATCAAGATCCTGGGTACTTGTTTGGGGAACATGAGAATGGGTCCTTGCCTCACACCTTCTAGGAGGGTGAGTGTGAAATGCATCCAGCATTGGAAGACAGAAAATGAGACTTTAAAAGTACTAGATGAAATCCATTCAAAAGAAATAAGCCCAGAAGCCTACAGTAAAAAGATTAAAATAAGCTTATACTCTAGATAGCAAATCCCACCATTAGAAAAGTAAAAAAAATACAAGCCACGCATGGGGGCAGATGTTGACAATGTCCCATATAAAGAGCATGTAAAAAACCCAAAGATCAGTAACCCCGCTGGTGGGGGGGTGGGGGTGGTAGTTAGAGGGTGGGAGCAGAAAATAGTCACTCGGACTAAGAGGGAGGGAGCAGGCCGCTATTCAGACGCCTTCTACACTTCCGGGGGGCAACGACGACGACCTCGTCAGGGCCATTTTTGGAGGTGAGGTCTGGTGGGAGGGACAATTGGTCCGGCTCCCTGGCAGCTGCTGCCATGAAGACAGCCTCTGGCCCTCAGTGACCTCATGTCCAAGGGGACTGAGCAGCTGACACTTTGAAAGCAGATGGACAGACCACTCTTCCTAGCCTGGAAGTTGAAACCTGCTTAGCATCACAGCCACACACACCTCTCCGACAGACGACGGGACGGCTGTGCGTGGGGTGCCTGGGAAGGAACATTCTCCCACGGGGCCATCGCTGCCTCCCCTCGGCTTGATGGCGTCCCAGGTGACCGATGGCAGTCTGTCGGGGCACAGACTGGAGCACCCTAACTAGCCGTGGATAGGGACGTCGCTACGTACGTGGCGCAAGTCCCGCGGTTCTGGAAAACAAAGTGCCGACGGGGAAGGTCGGCAAGCTGTGTCACTATTCCGTGAGAAAAGTTAGGTGCGGTGTGGGAGGGATACTTCCACTCTGTTGACCTACTTGCTCGCACGTCAGACGTATTATCAGGAGCGCAAGGCCCGGAGAAGGACATCACGTTTGGTAACACAGAGGGTCACCAAAAACAGGCAGGCCTCAATCAGATGGACTGACGTGGTGGCTGCGACAGCGGCTCCAATAAGAACAACTGGGAGGAGGCCGGCACAGGACCGGGCAGTGTTCCATCCTGTGGAACAGAGGCTGCCGTGACTTAGAACTGACTTGTAGGTACCAAACAACCACACTGGCGCGTGTGTGTGTGTGTGTGTGTGTGTGTGTGTGTGTGTGTAAAATCTCTCTGGAGAAGACATAAGATTGCCCTTTCCAGACGTGTGTGTGTAAAATCTCTCTGGAGAAGACATAAGATTGCCCTTTCCAGACGTGTGTGTAAAATCTCTCTGGAGAAGACATACGACTGCCGTTTCCCTACACCTGACCAAATAAAAAACCCAAACGCACGGCCATCGAGTCAATTCCGAGTCACAGCGACCCCATAGGACAGGGTCGAACTGCCCCTGTGGGTTTCTGAGACTGTCACTCTTTAGGGAGTAGAAAGCCTCCTCTTTCTCCTGAGGAGCGGCTGGTGGTTTCAAACAGCTGACTTTATGGTTAGCAGCCCAACACATAATCATTATGTCACCAGGGCTCCTGCCAAAGGGCGGGTGACGTAGACCTCCCCCCTCCCCACCAGGCCCACTCACCCTCCACGGTCTCTTTCACCCTGATCTTCTCCTGGGAGATGTCATTGGCTTCGATCATCTGGAACGAGAGGCCCTTGTGAGGGGTGAGCGGACCTTCCCCCTGCCTGAGCCCCGGCCACCAATGGGGGTCCACAAGCCTGTCTCCCACCCCACACATACCACCGAGGCCCCTCTGCTGCTGTGGCTTCTGTGTGAGCGCCCCCACCCCCACTCTGTGGAAAGCTTACTGTCTTACATCTCCTTCCCGGGGAGACTGATGGGGGCTTGTCCTGGAGCCTCCCCTTCCAGACTCAACCCTCCCAGGCTCAGTCTCCCGTGCACACAGTAGGCACTGAATGCTGCACGGCACATCACTAATTATTTTTAATAAATAAACTCAGAAGCCGCAAAACAGAAAAAAAAAATTGATGTAAAAAAGTTTCCCCACGGCAACCACGGCTGCGAGGTGAAGCCCAAAGACAACGGACAGGCGGCTGTTTCTCAGCAGAAGTTCTGGCCTCCTGTCGGGCTGGTCGCCCTCTGAGCCTTCAGAGTCGGACACGGGATCAGGGCAGCACAGGGCCAGCGGTGGTCACCTCTGCCAAGGTGAGCCTCATACTTGCGTCCATGGATGCCAGGCTCCCTTCCAGCCCCAGGAAGCTGTGACTAACTAAAATCTTTCTGTCCAGCACAGCATGGATGTGGCTCAAAACTTAGACACTACCTAAAAGCAAAAACAAAACCCTCACACTGCAAAATTTTTTTAAAAACAATACTCAGTCATCAAGTTGAAGGCTACTCACAGTGACTCCACAGGACTGGGTAGACCCATCCCTGTGGGGTTCCAAGCCTGTAACTCTTCATGGGAGTAGAAAACCCCATCTTCCTCTGTGGAGTGGCTGGTGGGTTTGAACCGCCCACCTTTCGATTAGCAGCCCAAAGACTAACCCGCTACACCACGAGGGCCCCCCAAACCCAGCTGCTCCTGGTGTGAACCCTCTGGCTCTGGGGAGCACGTGGGCTCAGTGGCCCTAGCGAGGGCGAATAATCAAGAGAAGTGGTTTTGTTCCTTGGCTCCAGTGTGCTGGTGACTGAGGGGCAGGGCCAGCCCCAGCCCTCACCCCCCCATGCTCTGCTGCATACCCCTGCAGCCTGCTTTCCTCTCCGTCCTTCTCCCCAGGATCTTGCTAAGAAATATGTCGCCCCTCCTGAGAGAAGGGGAGGCCGCAGCAGGGGGACCTCGGTATGGTACAAGACCCCAAATCAAACCCACGGCTTCCGAGTCAACATCTCGGCTCATTTGGACCCCACAGGACAGAGTAGAAATGCCCCATAGGTTTCCGGAGGCTGTAAGTCTTTACGGGAGCAGACAGCCACATCTTTCTCCCTCAGAGCGACAGGTAGGTTTGAACCACCGGCCCCTGCTGTTAGCAGCCCAGCACTCGGCCCACTGTATTGCTCCTTCAGCATGCCGCCGGCAACCATACGCAGGCACCCCGTACTCCCGATAACGGAGTCCTCAAAGGCTAAGCTATGGCTTCCAGCTGCCTGGGGCCCGTTTCAGGGCAGCGACCACGAGACCTCCCGAGCCCAAAGATGGATTCTGCTGAGAAACCTCCACCTCGGGAGGGTTAAGGTGGATGGGGTACTCATGGGAGTGCTACCCAGAGCCTGGCACTGGTGCCCAGAGGGCTCTAGGGAGGGGTGGGCTCAACGCGAGCAGGAGGGACTAGCCTTCCAGACTGCAGTTCTGGGTGGCAGTGAGGTTCCACTGGGAATGGTGGTGTCAGATTCCCTGGGTCAGCAGGGAGGGATGCCTGGAGCGCAGGGACAGGCAAGGTTGGCCCCCACATCTTCGCCAGCCCATAGCTGAGTGGCAGACGGGGTAGAAGGTAAAAGGAGGAAGCATGGTGACATGGTGACATGGTGACTCCCTACAGCAGATGCCATCTGGGAGGGCTAGGGGGCTGTTTGAGGACTCAGAGAAAGCCAATCTCTCCAAACCTGGGGTGTCCTGATGGGGTTGGGGGGGCTCTCACCTGTGGGCATGCCACAGGGGGGCTGGAAGTCTCTAGCACTGGGCCACCCACCTCCCCGTCTGCCCCTGCCACCCGCTGGCCTGGCCCAGGGACAGAGGCCTACGTGGGTGTGCTGGGAGGAGCACGGGGACCCGAGGGCCTGCAGTCTGTTCTCGGCAACCCGGAGCCGCTCGGCCTCCTGGCGGCTCTGGGCCTCGGTGCGCTGCAGCCCCTCGTAGTCCAGCATCTTCTTCTCGGCCAGGGCGATCTGCTCCTTCAGGAACTCGATGGCCTGCGCCTGCCCGCGGTACTCCACGTCCAGCTTCTCCAGCTCGTGCACGCGCAGCTCCGCGTCCCGCCGCTGGTCCTGGGCCTCCTGCAGCTTCTGCCGGAGGCCCTCCTTCTCCTTGGCGTGCACGGCCGTCTCCAGGTCGTGCTTGGCTCGCAGGTTGCTCAGCTCCAGCTGGTGCTCCATCTTCACGCCCTCCAGCACGGCCCTCAGCTCGCCCAGCTCTTTCTGCTGGGCCCCGGGGCCCGAGTTCAGCGTGGCCTTGAGGTCCTCCAGGGACTTCTGGTGGTCGGAGGCCAGCGAGTCCAGCTTGGACTTCCAGTTGTCCATGAGGCCCATGTTCTCGTGGGTGGCCTGCTGGACCTTGGCCTTGAGGTCCGCCACCTCCTGCGCGTAGCGCTCGTTGGCCGCGCGCAGCTTCGCCACCTCGGCCTGGTAGGTCTTCAGCGCCGCCTCGTACGTGTCCCGCAGCGCGCCGCTCTCCCGCTGGTGCTCCTGGCTGGCCGACAGCAGCCGCTCGCGCAGCCGCAGGCTCTCGGCGGCCTCGGGGTGGTCGGTGGGCGGCGGGCTGGCCTGCAGCAGGTACTGCTGCAGCTCCTCGATCTCGCCGCGACGCAGGCTCAGCTCCTCCTCCAGCTGCAGCACCCGCGACTTCTCGGCCACCGTCGTCAGCTGCGGAAAAAGAGGGGGACGCGGGTCAGCCGGGAGGGAAGGAAGGGGGACCGCGGTGCGGGGTGGGGGTGGGAGGGCGGAGGGCACCGGGCACTTCCAGAAAGCCTTCCCACGCACGCCCTCACTCGGGAAGTCGAATGTCCCCATTGTCCTGCATGGGGTGGCGTGGCCGCTGGCCCAGACTGTCCAGTCTGAACGCCTGAAGCTGAACCAACTTGCGGCTCCCAGACCCTCCCTTCGCCTGAAAGGTCAACCTGACCACATCGATGACGCGGTTCCAAGGCTCTCACTGCCCTCCAGCCGATGCCAACTCACAGAGACCCCACAGGACAGGGCAGAAATGCCCTGTGTGGGTTTCTGTGGCTGTAACTCTATACTGGAGTAGAAAGCCTCGTTTTTCTCCCACAGAGCAGCTGGCGGCTTTGAACCGCTGATCCTCCGGTGCGCAGCTTAACGCATCATCACCGCACCACCAGGACTTGAAGACACTCTTTAAAACGTCTAAAATCTTTAGGAAGCGTTTGTGTGAGGGGTGTGGGGGAGGTGGAGGTAATCGTTTCTTCCGTAGTTGATTTCAATTCACGGAAATGGTTTCTCCTGGTTATCAAATGACCTGTCCATAGTTTGGAGGCTCCAACCGTCCACAGTGACGGGGTCAGTTTCCACAACCGGGCCTTTGTGCGCAGGCGTGGCTGGCGACCAAGTGCTGGCCGGTCTCTGCAAATGGCCCCCATGCATGCCCTTACACACGGGTCTCAGAGCCCCAAACGTATAGAGACCGACCTCGACTTCCTCCCCGTCCTGCTGGCTGCAGCGCTGCATGGCACTGGCCAGCCTGCAAAGTCGGGCCCTGGCACACACCTGGTGGTGCGAAGCAGCCGGTGGCGACGGGAGCCCGGACTTAAACGTGGTGCGTTCTCTCTGGCCTGGCTCCCAGCCTATTCCAAAAGCCAGACCCTGTGGCTGACAAAGATTCCCAACTCTTGGGGTCACTCCCATCCACCTGCACTTTTCTAGCCCCAGGTCCTTCAGCCTGGCCCCTCCTGCCCGCCATGATCGGTGAGCCCCTGGGTTAGACACTTGTACCCATCCGCCCGTGCCCTTGGCCAGCCTCCTGTGCTGGCGAAGGGGTCAGCCTGTTTCCAGGCCCTCCCACACCAGGGCCCGTCGACTCCCAAGATGCCCTCAATTTCTGAATGTGAGAAAGCCTCTTTGGGGCAATGCACAAGGGGGTAGGGGTCCCACGCACGGTGGGGGTGGACACAGGTCCGGAGAGCAAGGATCCCGCCACACCATCTAGCCTCCCCGGGCTGCGGGGCGGAAGCAGGTTGCCCATCTCTCCGTCCTGTGAGGGGCGTGGCAGAAGAAACCGGGCTGACAGCAATTGCAAAGGACAGAGCCAAGGGGGCCAGGAAGCCGAAGGGGACCACGGTTACCCTGTTGTCCGCTAACTCCCTGAGCAGCCGCTCGGCCTGCGCCTTCTCCAGCAGCAGGCTCCGCTCCAGCTCCCCAATGCGCGCGTGCTCCAGCTGCGTCTGGGTCTGTCCACCCGGGGCGGGGCGGGGCAGGGGCGGCGGGGAGAGGGCACGGGGGGCAGAGGAGGATGGAGGAAGAGAGAGAGAGAGAAAGAGAGAGAGGTGGCGTCATCTTCTGTGAACAAGGCAAGGAGAGCAGGTCACCAAGGAAAGACTTGAATTGACGCTGGGTAAGAGAGAGGGTCGGTCTGGGAGGCGGCGGGGTGGGGCCCGATACCCGCCCCTCACTGCGACCCAGCAGGCTGGGGGCGCTGAAGGTGGAGCCTCACACCGCTTCAGTCTCAGACCCAGATTTTAAAAACGGGGGTGACCTGGACCGCCAACTGGAATGGGAAAATTCGGGGTGGTAGTTCTGGATCGGGAGATGTGGGAGAGTCTCTAGAGTGGACAGCGGCCAGGACTGTGGAAAGCCACACAGGGGGGCATGGGCTGCTGCATCTTTGAGCTGACCACCGTGGTTTCAGGCCGTTGTCCGAGAGGCCCGTTGCCCTGCCATGTGGGGGTGTGTGTAGATGCGGGTGTGTGCCCCATGTTCTCCCGTCACCCCACCTTCTAAGAGGGGTGATGAAGGTCCTAGCAGGGCATCCGTCAGCCATCCTTTTTCCTGTTCTGGTGACCATTCCAGTTCACCCGCATTTTAAAGATCCAGGTCCACCTACATACCACTTCACTGGCAGTGACTGAGCCGGGCCAGACTGGTCCAAAGCTCTGCTTTGAGGGCTGAGGGTGGCGGCCATGGGCATTCCATTCCCCGGCCAGCTCCCTGGGGACACCCCAACTACCGCCTGCGCCCCTGGGGAGCCCAAAGCTCCGCCTCACTGGCAATCTCAGAAGCCCTTTGATAAATGAAGCAGGCGGGGCCCGGCACTGAAAGCAAAAAGCACCAATGGCATGGAAGGGCTTTGAAGAGTACTACCACCCACCTGGTCATCAGGCCGGGGGTGATCCCACCACCCGGCGCAGGTTCCTCGGTGGAGGCCAGGCTGTGCCTCCCACAGACCTGTCACCCCACTCCCATCCCCGGGGCTGAAGGAAGCACAGAAGCCCTTTTGTCTCAGCTCCACAAGCCCCACTTCATGCACTAACAAAGCTGCACATTCTCCGCATGCCCATTCTGCCCACGGCAGTTCCCACAACTGGCCCACAGGGGGCAGCAGCAAGCACAGGCCTGCTCCCAGGGCCTCATTCTCCAGCAGGAACTCGGTCTCTGGGGCAGGTCTGAGAGGAGGCAGGGCTTGCAATACAGCCGATGTGTCTGTGAGTCAAAACACTCATCAAAACCTAGAAGGGGGACGTGATGCCGTCACCTTGGGCAGAGCTGACGCTGCAAACCAACACTATCCATTCAAGAAATACTCTGCTAACAGTTTGTGTCAAAAGGTGCTGCTGCCGAATCATCAAAACCTTTAGGAAGCAAAAACATCCAACAGAGAAGCTGGTCTCTCGACATAACTAGCCTCCATCTGAGTCTCCGGCGGGTGACGTGTCCACCCTGCGGCTGTTCTTAGGTGCCGTCCAGCTGGTTCTGACCCACGGCGATTGTTCTGATGTTTGCAGCCACGGTGTCCATGCATCTCGTCGGGGGCCTCCCTCTTTTTCGCTGCCCCTCCACTGCTACCAAGCGCTGTGTCTACCAGTCTCCAGGGACTGGTGTCTTCTTGAAAACATGTGCACAGTATGTTCAGACATAAGTCTCTCCATCCTTGCCTCTAAGGAGCTCTCTGGCCGTACTTCTTCCGAGACAGGGGTGTGTGTCCTTTTGGGGGGGCCAGGCGACTTCCAGGACTCTTCTCCGGCACTGCAATCCAAAGGCGTTCATTCTTCTTCCGTCTTCCTTACCCAATGCCCATCTCTCGAACCCGCCGGGCAAGAGGGCCTCCAGGCTCATGCCTTTTCCCTGATCCTTGGGGGAAACACAAAGAAGTCTGAAGGCACAAGATCGGGGCTGGAGGCTGGATGGGTAAGGTTTCTCGGTGACCTTCCAAGAATGAGCAGGTGCCCTGTTGCGAGGGAACCTGTGCCTCGATGACACTTTCCCAGCTTCCTCACAAGTGGAGTTACCAGTCTCTGAGCCCCCGTCATCATGCCGTGCCCTTTGAGAAAACATGGTCACCCTTCGGGGGACCCTTCCCCACCGGAACTGGCCTCTCGGCCTTGCATGTCACTGGTCCAGCAGGGCCACTGTTGGGAATGGACCGTTCGCTTTGTTGTTCGGAAGGCACCCTCAGGAGACCAGGGCAAGCGGCGTTACTGGGAGCGCTGATCTGCAGGCCCCCCACTGAGGGCAGAGACGCGCCCTGACTGAAATGCTCCCCTGCGCGTATGAACCTGGAAGGTTCCTGGCAACGCTTTCCAAACTCACCGTCTTCCACGAAGGACGAATGACACGCGGGCACCAGGAACAATGAAAGCGGCCCCAGTCTAACAAGCAGCCCTGCCTGTTTGTTCTCTTGTAGAAAATTCCAGGCTGATGATGTGGGTGCCGCAATCCCACACACGCCAGCGCCGTCCTTCTCCCCGCCTCAATCGCTGCCTCTGATGGTGGGCACAGCCGCTCTGCCCTGGTCCCTCCCGAGAGATGGCGCCCAGAAGAGCATGCCCGTGGCCTTGTGGACAAGAGGAACCGTCCAGCTTCCTGACTTCAAAGGCGACCTCACTTGATCGCTAAGGGCCAGGGGCTACACCAGGACACCTTGCAAGCACTGCCAGAGCCAGTAGATCTGGGGACTGGGGGTCAGAGAGAGCCGTGGGGGGGCGGGGGGGGGGCGGCTCACTCGCTGCCATTGAGTCTGTGCCAACTCAGGGCCCCTGTGGGTTTCCAAGACTGACACTGTGGACAAGAGTGAAGAGAGAGCCCAGTCTTTCTCCCGAGGAGCTGGTTTTGAACTGCCGACCGTGCGGATCGCAGCCGGAGTGACACTGCACCACTAGGGCTCCTCTGAGCTGTACACAGGACTAAACCAGCAAGCGGCCACTGGAACTGGGGTGAGGGAGGTGCGCTGGAAGTCCCTGGGGGACCGTCCCCGGCGTAGCAGCTCTACAGACAAGGACTTTCCCCAGAGTCCACAGAGAAAGCCTCCCCGAGAGCCAGAGCCGTGAACACACACTTCTAGTTCCTGAACTGTGAGTAATAGACGTCTGTCTGTGAAAGCCACCCCCTTGTGGCAACGGGTACAGCGGCACTGTGAGAACCAAGACCAGGGCTGCGGGCAGTGGAAGCTGTCCAGTGCCTGCCCCGGTCACTCCCGGGTCCCCAAAGCTACTGTTCAGAGAGGCACCGGCAAGGTGGCTGGGCAGCTTGACAGGTGCTGATGTAACTTCCATCTGTGCACTAGCTTTAGATAGAATCCCGCCTCATCTGAGGGGGTGTCTTTGCTGTCTCCCCACCTAATAGGAGGGGCCCCACCTAGAAGGGAAAGCCCCGAACGCCACCTGGAAACTTTGGGGTCAGAGATGGGCCTAAACTTAGGTCTCCAGGACCCCCTTTCAGCTCCTTGAATCGGCGGGCACCCCTCATTTCTGGGCCACCATTCCTGTCTTACTGCCCGGCCTGAGTCCACCTCCCCGTCCTCCCCCATGCCGTGGCCCCAACCTGAGGACATGTCTCAGGTAACCAAGGCCCTGATCAGGTGCGTTCACGGGGCACCAGGTGCACTGGCTGGGACTCAACCTTGTAATTTGTAGTTCTTGAGGCCGCCCGTCAATCCCAGCTCATGGCGACCCCACCGCATCAAGGGAGAACTGGGCCCCCGAGGGGTTTCAGCAGCTCGCTTTGCAGAAGGGGGTCACCAGGTCTTCACTCCAAGGCACCTCTGGGTGGATGTCCTGTTAGGCAGCCGGTAAGTGAACCAACCATTTGCTTCACCCAAGGACCCCCCCACTTTACAACCAAGCTCTCAACCGACAGCAGACTCGGGGTGCATGGAGTTGGCCCTAGCTGTGAAAAACGGGCACTCCTGGGTGGATGAACTACGAACACGGAGTTACTCCTGGTGACTCCACAAAGCCAGGGCAGGGGCTGCTGTCGCCGCAGGCCACCAGGTGGTGGCAGAGGACAGCACAGCTCGTGGGCATCCACCGCCCACGAAAGAGAACCTCAAAACGCATTCCCAGTCTGGGACTTGGAAACCCATCGGGAAAAGCATCCGCTGACACTCCTGCCCTGGTCTGGGCACTGGGGATATTGAAGTGGAGAAGAGAGGCCGGGTTCCCCACCCTCAAGGGGACTGCAGTCAAGTCAGGGGAGGGGGGGGGCTGTGGGTGGAGGGACGCATGGTTAATAAATAAGCAAACCCACTGCCATTGAGTTGATGCCAACACAGAGAGACCCTATAACACCGGGAAGAACTCCCCCGTAGGTTTCCAAGACGTGACGTTACAGGAGCAGAGAGCCTTGTTCATCTCCCGCAGAGGGGCTGGTGGGTTCAAACCGCTGACTTGGAGGTTAGCATCGCAACGTGTAAACCCACTGTGCCACTGGACTCCCAGCCATCTGGTGAGGGGTGAGCTCCTTAAGCGTTTGACCAAAGGCAGCAGGTTAATGTTTAAGTTGAGTCTTTTGTATATATAAATATCTAACTGGCCCTGGGCAGATAAAAAGATTCCCCATTCCCACTCCGGTCTATAGGTTCCCAAACTTCTTTGGCAGACCGGCCCCTTTTCAGGAAAAACAACGAAAAACGTACCCAGCACTTCTGGCTAGTAAAAATGCTTGCACGCTAGCCTACCCAGGACGAGGTGTACAAACCTCCCTGTCAGGTCCACGCTGACTCAGTGCGTGGCTGTGGGTTTCCGGGACTAACAGCTATGGGAGTAGAAAGCCCAGTCTTTTCCCCAAAGAGATGCACGTGGTTTTGAACTGCCGACCTCGAGGCTCACAGCCCAACACATAACCACTAAACCACCAGGGCTCCTGGATAAAGCGCAGGTGTCTGCTTTTACAGCTCCCTAAATTGTTCCAGCCACCCCCAGCAGGGGGTGCCATCACCCACTTTGGGAAAAACGTTGCCTAGCCTGGACCTAAACCCCTGGACCAGGGGTCCTCAAACTCTATCCGGCCCGCCGGGTGTTTTTGCCCTGTTTGTTTTTTTACTTCAAAATAAGATATGTGCAGTGTGCATAGGAATTTGTTCACAGTTTTTAAAAAAACTATAGTTTGGCCCTCCAATGGGTCTGAGGGACAGTAAACTGGGCCCCTGTATAAAAAGCTTGAGGACCCCTGCCCTGGACATAGCCATTCCTTGGGAGAAAGATAAGAAAGCTCCCAGAATGCTCCGCAGCCTTGGAAACCCGTGGAGCACTCGACAGCAGTCGGCATCAACTGGGTGGCAGTGAGGGTGGTGGTTTGGGGGTTCGGTGGAGCCCCTGCTGACTGCCATCTGTAGAGGGCGTGCTGCCCAGGTCCTGCAGGAGGGCAGCCAGCCAGTGTGACCAAAGGACACGGGCGCTTGTCTGACACGTCCCCATGAAAGACGGTGTCACCATGTCTCTGCGCCACCTTGAGCCCTGACATCCGAGGGAGCAAATTCAGCTCCCCACCCCCAGAAGCAGCCAGCAGACCACGCAGGGCCCCATCCTAGTCAGGGCCACCCGGTACTGGACAGCCACCGCGTGCGTGCACCTCAGCTGCTGGGATGGCTTTTGGGCAATCAGAAACGACACTTTCCGATTTGGGCTGGGGCGTGACCTCGTGCAGAGAGTCCCCGAGTGGGGTCCCCAGATCAGCAGCATCACCTGGGAATGTATTGGAGACACGCATCTGCAGGCCCCCACCCAGACCTGCTGACTCAGAGCCTGAGGGGAGCCCCCCACCCCACCCCCGAGACGCTGAGCACCGCTCCAGTGTGAGACCCACTCATATTCCACAGATAAGGGAACGGAGACCCTGCAGGGGGCCGGCTGTCCAAGGACCACCCCTCCCAGCTCCCGGAGTCTTCTCCTGAGGTCGTCTCGGGTTAACCAGCGAGGGGGACACGGAAGACAGCCTGCTGCCCTGCACCCAAGGGCTCTGCAGATGTGGTGAGCAGAGGGCCGGGGGCAGGGTCTTCAAGGGTGGGGTACCCTGGAGAGGGGAAGGGCCAGCTTCATGCTGACCAGTGTGCCCAGGACACAACCACTGGCCACCCTAGGAGCTAAGCTCAGGGTCCGGGGCCCAGTCCCGCTGCCTGCTGTAAGACTTGGTAAGCCCCTTTGCCTTGGGCCTCAATTTCTTTGCCTAGTTTTTCTGAGACTCAGCAAACCATTTTCAAATTGAAATGCTCCCAAGAGCCCAGCATCAACGGAAGGCCCAGGGGACCTTTAGGGATATCTTTCAAGTTGTAGCAGGGGAACCCAGACCCTTGGGCCTTATGCCCAGTTCTATCTCCTTGCTACCTTCCATCCGCCCCACCCGGCCACTGACAGGGACCCGTGGGCCCTCTGGGGCCCAGCAGCTAAACCAATCCCACTTCCGACACCCGCTTCTCTCATTTGTGACCTGCCCCTTCCACTTGCCCTCCCAGGTGTGAATCCTGGCCCTGCCCATTCCTGCTCATCCTCTCCCTTGCAGGGGCATGGCGGCATGGCTGCCCAGACTCTGACAAATGGCTGCACCAGCCGGGCTGGGGGAGTCTGGGGGAGGGGCTCGGACGGTTACCTCCAGGTCTCCCTTGGTGATCGACTCCTCCTCCACTCGGAACTGCAGGTCCTCCACCTTCCTGCAGGGGGAGGGAGACAGCAGGCTGATGGCAGGGCTGTGCCCAGAGTGGTGGACCTCCCCAAGCCACCACGATCGGCCAGCGGCAGAGTGGCAAGGCCACCTGGGGCCAAGACTCCAGGCACAAAAGATGGTCTGCCGGAACAGGGGCCTGCCCAGAGGCCTACGGCAGATGGGGACAGAGCCTCCTGGAAACTTCCAGACTGCCTAATTCTGGCCGGCCCTCTAGGAATGAGGACCAGCAGTGTCCCTCATGTGGGTGTTGCATGTCACGGCAGTCCTCCTGGACGACGTGCGGAGTGAAGGGCATTCTGAGTGGGAGCCCAGTGGGGTTATGGTTGACTCTGCTTCTACTGGAGCTGGGAAGACTCTACCAATGGTCTAATTAGGAGGCGAGAGCAGGGCAGAGCGGGGAGGAAAATGAGTTTCCTTCTCCGTTGATCCCTCCTCACCCCCATGCCTCAAAGTCTGGGGCCAGAGGTCCCACCCGGACACCTGGTGGCTCCTGATGTGGAGGCCCCCAGTGCCCTGCTATAGGACAAAACTCCGGGAGGGGCAGGGGGTGGGGGAGACACACTTGCCCACACTGGGCTGGGGCTGCTGGCTTTGTGGGGAGCACACCACCCACCCCGAAGCTGCTGGGGTCTCCGGCCGACGCCCAGCACTCAGATGAGAACACAGTGGCCCAGAGAGGGCAAGCAGCCTGCCTGAGGTCACACAGCACACGGAGGGCGGTGCAGGCACATACAGGCACCCAGGCCCTTCCCCAACACGACCCCTCCCCACCCAAGACGCCTTCAAAGCCTGCTTTTGTTTGTTGGCTGGCACTGGGCACGTTGCCATGGGAACCAGATGTGTGGGCCCCATGACCGGCCGTCTCGGGAGGATATAAATACACCCCTGTCTCCCTGAGGCAGACAGCAACAACAGGCTGGGAGCATGTGCCTCGGCCGAAAGCCCAACAGACTCAGGTCAGGTGGGGGCGCAGGGGGTAATGCAGGGACCAGAGTATCACCCCGGATGCTGACTACCATGCTGAAAGTCCTGCTGGGGGTCCCCACAGGCCACCCAAACCAGCGGGGCACCTGCTGTCTGGTTGAGGGTGGGTGGGGCTGAAGGACATGCCTACATCTTTTGGTGGGGGTCTGGAGCCCACTGCCTCCCTCCTGACCCTCCTCGGGGCCAAGACGGTGGCCCGGGTGGGCCGAGGTTCCTCTCTGCAGCCCTGGAAAAGCCCGAGACACAGACAGAGGAGACCACCAGCCAGCCCCCTCCCACTGAGGCAGGGCAGAGGCAACCAGGGCCTGGCTGATGGCCTCAGGCAAGTCCCTTCTTGCCACCCATGATGTGAGAGAGATGAGCCGGCCTTCCAGGCTGACCCCTGACCTGCCTGCTGCGCGTAGCCTCAGCTCTCCGACCCGGACCCTGAGCACAGGCTGGGGGTGCAGGCTGTCGGGTTCAGAAGAGTTGAACGCACACACATAGCAGGGGGGTAAGGACCCAGAGGGTGCTGGGAGAGCAAGGGGCTGCCCGCCCCCACCCCATTTGTTGTGCAAGCAGAATGGGGCAAAACAGTGAGCCCCAAGGGACATGTCTCTGTGGGGTTTCTCCTGCACCCAGCACCTCGTAGGGGTTTTATCTGCCTGTTCCCCGCCCCCCGGCAGCCTGGAGAGATGGGGTGCATCACCTCACAGTACAGTGCGGAGACTGAGGCCCACAGAGAGCAGGCCACTCCCCAGAGGGCCGAGGCGGTGAGCGGTACAGGTGGGACGTGGGCCTGGGTCGGCCGAGCTGTGCCCGAGCCTGCGGTGGTGGCCCCATCCGTCGGGGCTTGGCACGTACCTCCTCTCCTCCTCCAGCTGGTTGGACAGGTCCACCTGCTCCTTGCGCACGCTGTCCACCAGCAGCCGGGCCCGCTGCAGCTTCTCCTCGGCCTCTACAACATACTGGCCCCGAGCCAGGGCCAGGACGGGGTCAGCCTCCTCCTGGGGCCCGGCGGCATGCCCCCACCCCACAATGGCCCCCACCCCTGACACCCCCAGTCCCTGGCCCTTCCCCCGCATGCACCTGTGGTCTTGTGAGGACCCGCCAAAGCACACAAGTGAGCTCGGCCTGGGTGCTCTCGGCACCCTGGGGGTAAGGTGGGGGTGAGCCAAGGCCCAAGAGGGGGGACAGGGCCCGGGAGGAAGCGCTCAGGTGGGGCAAGGACAGGCCTGTGGCCAAGGTAGATCCGACAGGCTCAGGGACGACGCGGGCGTGAGACCCTCAATCCAGCCTGTGAAGCTGCTCACGAGCAGGGTCTCAAGCGCGGGCACACGGGACCCGGCGCTGGTGTCCCCTTGGCCGGTGGCGGCCCCTGGGCGTCAGAGCAGAAGCTCGCTCTGTGAAGCCTTCAGGACGGTTCCGGGCCTTTCTTCAAGGCGCTGCCGACTGGATCTGAACGGCCAACCTCTGCGTTAGCAGCCGGTGCTGCCACTGGCCACGCCCGGGGATTTCGGAGGGAGCGCTGGTGGTGTGGTGGTTATGTGCCCCCGTGGGCTGCCATCCAAAGGGCCAACCGTTCAGAACCACCGGCCCCCCCACGGGAGAAGGACAGGCCCATCTCCTTCTGCAGAGTCAGCCTCGGCAGCCCACGGGGGCAGGGCTACCCTGGGCTCTGGGGTCACTGTGAGTCGGAGCCCACTCAGCAGCACGGGGCAGGGCATCTGTGAGGGGCTGAAGGGCTGCAGATGGCAGCGGGCGGGGCTGCCTCGGGGAGGGGACAACCCGAGACGGACGGGGACGCGGCCAGCGAGACAGCGAGAGCCTGGACAAACACCGCCGTGGAGTCTGTGCCGACCCCGGCGGCCCTGAGGACGGGCTGCGGCTGCCCCGAGGGCTTCTGCGGCTGCCAATCTTCACGCCAGCAGACGGCCTCGTCTTTCTCCCCCGAGCGGCTGGTGGGGTTCCGACTGCTGACATGGTCTTGGCAGCCCAACTTGTGACCCGCTGGACAACCCCCGAGCTCCTTCACGTCCAACTCCCAGAAAGCCCACCACCATCGAGGCCGCTGTGACTCAGCACGCCCCTAGAGGGCAGGGTAGAACTGCCCCTGTGGGTTTCCGAGGCTCACTCTTTACAGGAGCAGACAGCCCCCTCTTTCTCCCGCGGAGCAGCTAGTGGTTTCGAACTGCTGACCTTGAGGTAGCAGCCCTCCGTGTGCCCTGTGCTACCAGGGTACCTTCCATGTGATACAAAGTAACGAAACAAAGGACAGAAAACGAACACCACCCAGGTCCTGAAAGTAGGTGTGAGCGTCCAGAGAGAAAGAACATTTACAAACAAAGAGGGCAGGAAGGGCATTCACTAGCTTCTGAGGGCAACCTGGGGAAAGGGAGCGGACGGGCGGACCAGTCAGCCACAAAACCAGCTGCCACTGACTGGACACAGACGTCTGGACCCACGGGTGTCAGCATAGGACTGGGCTCCAGGGGAGACGCCCAGGGCTGCTTTTTCAGAAGTACCCCCAGCCCTTTCTCCCGAGGCACCTCGAGCTGAGCACACAGAGTGTGCGCCCCCCCAGGGAGACCGTGGATCATTTATCCCTTAGAGCAGCGGGTCTCAACCTTCCTCCTGCCGCGACCCTTTCAAACACCTCCTCATGTGGTGGTGACCCCCCGACCAAACATTATTTTCGTGGCTACTTCATCACTGTCATTTTGCTACTGTGATGAACCAGGCGACCCCTGTGAAAGGGCTGTTCCACTCCCAAAGGGGTCGAGACCCACCGGTTGAGAACCACTGCCTTGGAGCCCCGGGCTCTGTGTGTGCATGTGTGCGTGCACGCGGTCAGGGGGAGGTGGCCCGTGCCCACCTGCTCGTGCTGTGCCTTGAGCAGGGCGATCTCCTTCTCCACCTCGCAGATGTGGCTCGTGGCCTTGGCCACCTCGGCCCGCTCCAGGTCCCGCTCGGCCAGCAGCTGCTCGATGTGCTGCTGCTTCTCCTTCAGCGCCTCCTGCAAGGCCGTGGTGCCCGAGATCTTGCGGGCGTAGCGTGAGGAGGTCTCGGTGAGCTGCGGGAAGACGCGTGGGCGGGTGGGACTCAGGCGTCGCCTGTCCGGAGGCCTGTGAGCTCAGCTGGCTCTACCCAGCCATGTGTCCTGCCAAAGGTCTGGACTCCCAGGGCCCTGCCCTGTCCTGCCCTACAATGAGGCCTGGCTACTTACTCAGGGAGGATCGTCACAGCCGAGGTTCAGAAGCCCCTGGGACACTCTCTCTGGCCATGAGGAGCCTCCTTCCCAAGACTATGTTCAGAGTGAAGGGCCCACGTCCACTGAGGCGGCTGCACCAGACTGCCCGACTCCCTTGGCCTGTCTGTGAATTACCTTCTGACCCCTCTTAACTACCAGGGAAGAACCCAGGCTATGACAAATCTTATGTCACAATGACAATAAATATAAATGGGTTCATTTCCTCTATTAAAAAAAGGAACTTGTATCTTTGTTCAAAAGCCCTAAACTGAAGGACGCCTGTACCCAGACTGTCAGCGACACATGGGGTGCGGTGGGGGGACCTGGTCAGCCAGGCAGTGCCCCCTCCCCAGCCCCACCCTTACCAGGCCACTTCGGCTGGGCCGGCCTCCCACGGAGGAGGCCACGGAGCTGACAGAGCTGATGGAGGAGCTGCTGGGGCTGTGTGTGAGGGCAGAGACCCCCATGGTCATGCGCTTGGTCTTCTTGGCTTTGGCTGGGCTGGTGGACGGGAAGCCGATGCGGATGACCTTGTGGATCGGTGCGAAGAGGCCGAACTTGGGCGGACACTGGAAGTACCTGCGGAAGGGGGCAAGGGTGACCCTGCGGTCATGGCCCCACAGCTCAGAGCCTCCATGCTCCCCACCCTGTTCAGAGCCCAGAGGGCAGAGAGGCACCTCCTTGGGGTCCCGTGACCCATACCCCAGGCTGGAAATCCCCGAGACAGGAAGACGGTATTCCTAGAAAATGAACCAGTCACTGGGGAGCAAGGGCAATCACCGAGCCCCCGGCCCCGTGCCAGTCCCTGTCTGTGAATGCCCACTGCCAGCTCCCCGGAGCCTCCTCTGCTATCTGAAGATCCCGGGTGAGGACAGCGAGTCGCAGAGAGGTCAGTCACACACTAGTGACGGGGCAGAGGCTTGGCTCCCACACCTGTGTCGGAAACTTGCCCGGCCAGACCTGCCACTCACTCTCAGAGTTGCCCTCGGGCCACCCCAGGCCCAAGGCATTTCACCGGCTTCCTGTCCCTGGGGGTGGGGTGGGGGGCGGTGCCCACCATGCCCTTCGATTCTGAAACTGAAACACCGCCATGAACATGGAGGCGAAATGCTGTCTCAAGGACTTCAGAGCCTCTTCTTGGACAACCTCGGGGGTCACGGGTTCAGGGGACAGAGTGCTCGGAGCAAGACCAAGCCACTGCCGCTGGGTCGGGTCCAGTTTCCAGCAATGCTGGGGGCAGAGCTGTACAGTCGGGTTTCTGAGACTAAGATTCCTTATTTACAGGCCATTGCTCTCCCCGAGTGGCTGGGGGCTGGAACTGCTGACCTCATAGGGAACAGTCCAGAGCTTCACTCATGGTCCTACAAAGGCCCCTACAAGGGCCCCAAGGGGAGGGCTAACAGCTGATATCTCCCACCTATGGGTCTCTGCCCAGACCCCCCACCCACCCCTTATCTAGGACCCTCTTCCATCCTTTTGCAGAAGCAAACGGACTCTTGAGCCTGGCTCAAGTCCCGTTCAAGCCCTGACCTCTCCACCGAGGTGGCAGTGACCACAACCATGGGTCACTCAGGCCACCTCACTTCAATCCCACCCCTCACCTCTCACCCCGAGACCACTCTGCAGTGCAGGGAACCCACCGACGCCCTTCTCCTCTGAGAAGGCGGGGAACCCTCCTGGAGCCAGCTGTGATTCAGGTAGAGTCCTGGGGTCAAGTGCTATCTGATGAGGTCACATGCTATGGGGACTGGGGGCGTGGAGGGCAGGGACCACTGGCCCCACCTACAGCATGGCAGGGAAAGGGAGCCAGGGGACAAACAGATGGACTCTCCTCGAGCTTGCTGTGGCTTGCTGTGTGACCTTGAGCAATGACCTCTCTGGCCTCTGTTCACTCATCTGTCAAATGAGGGTGAGCGTGCTACCCACCTCTCTTGGGGGCGCTGCTGGGGGACATGAGCGGAAGCACCAACATCAGGGTGACTGGCACACCGCACCCCCCTCAACATTGGCTTCCTCAGGAGCCCCATCCCCACCCCAGGCTCTGAAATCCCTCGACCATCCCCTCCAGAAGCTCCCCCCGCACCTGGTGCCTGCCACGGCCCCGTCGTTCTTCCCAAGGGGTTCGTCCAGCTCCACGCCACACCACTCGCCCTTGGCGAAGTCTGTCTCCCCCACATAGCGCACCACGCCCGTCTTCGTCCCACCAACCTGTCGGCACAGGGAGAGAAACTCTGCATGGGGGAAGGAGGGGGCTGGGGCAGAGCCAACACAGAGGAGGCCGAGAGGACACAGGTCCACCCACTGTCTCCCAGGACCCTCCCACCAAAGAGCCCAGGCTCTGGACACAGTCAGACCTGTGTTCAAACCCTGTCTCTGCCACGCTGTGGGAGCCTCGGCAGAATTATCACTCAACCGCTCTGAGCCTCTGCATCTGCATCTGAGCGTGTCATCTGCAAAAAGTGTTTTTGGAAGGTTTAAATACTCTACGGTTCAGTACTGGATTATTGTTCAGTATCGGTGAGGTAGTTAGTCTATTGTGACAACCTGGATGATAAACACATGTGGGGTTAATTGAAGGGCAGAGATAAATGGCTCAATGAGCCTCGCCTTTCGAGTTCTCAGGTCTCTTGCTTTCTGATGGTCGGACCAGGGTGCAGCTGCCTTAGCCAGTTCCCTGCTTCAGCTGGCAAGGCTCACTTCCTGCAGGACATCCCCAAGGTGAAGCCGCATGGACTTACCCCGATGCAGCCCTGGGTGCTGGAGCACCCATGTGGAGACCCCTGCCAGTGCTGAGATGCTTACACCTTCACTGACTCAGCTTTCCTCCTGCAGTGGGCATTATTGCATGTATTTTGTGAGATGGAGGAGGACTTGGTGGATTGATGTCGGACATATGGGTTAATGTTGGACTTGTGGGCTTGGGCAGCACTGGGTTGGGATGTTTTCTTGATGTGCACTTAACCTTTATGTAAAACTCTTATACATGGGTTTCTGTGGATTTGTTTCTCTAAAG